TTAGCCAGGATGGTCTTGATCTCCTGACCTCGTGATCCGCCCGTCTCGGCCTCCCAGAGTGCTGGGATTACAGGCTTGAGCCACCGCGCCCGGCCGTGAAATTCTTTCTTACCTGAAGTAAAAGAAATGTTTTCAGATGGACGATTTGCCAGACTCACCATGTTTGAAAGTTATGTGAATAAATGTTTTATTCAATGTCATTTAAAGCTTCGTGATATCTCATAAGAGTTTTATTTTCAAAATCGCGCATGTTCACAAAATTTTTGGACACATTGTGATTATTGCCACTCTCCATAAGGCCTGAGTTTGACATGGACATAAAATCCTGAATAAAATACCAAGGAACACGTTTCTATTTGCAGTGTTTCCATTGTAGGTGGAACGGCCGCCAGACAGAGAGGCTTTCTAGGATGCATTCGGTCTCTGCAGTTGAACGGGGTGGCCCTGGACCTGGAAGAAAGAGCCACAGTGACGCCAGGAGTGGAGCCTGGGTGTGCAGGACACTGCAGCACCTATGGACACTTGTGTCGCAATGGAGGGAGATGCAGAGAGAAACGCAGAGGGGTCGCCTGTGACTGTGCCTTCTCGGCATATGATGGGCCGTTCTGCTCCAATGGTAAGTGTGACCAAGGAGCAGGTTATAGGGCAAGTACATGAAACTTACATAATATGAAGAACGCTTATGGCATTTGATACTATACAGAAAGGATAAGATTGAATTATTTGAAATGGAATAATTTCTGTACCAAATTCCTCTATGGAATTTAGAAGGGGTATGACTGTTTTTGAAAACTTAAGGCTATCAGTCCTCTCTGGATTTCTTTCTTAGAAGATCTCTGGGTTACCCCTAGCATCTGTTCAATGCTAATCCTCTCAAAATAATTTGGTTTTCACAACTCTGTCCTTGTACTGTTCTAATTTTGACATCAGTAAAGCATCATTGTTATTTTTGTTTTTAATTTTTAGAGACAACTTCTTGCTATTCAAGCCTCTCTGTTGCCCCGGCTGGACTTGAACTCCTAGGCTTGAGCAATCCTCTTACCCATTGTTCCTTCTGACAATGACTTGAAGTGATTCAAAAGGCCTTTATAGAAATGTCTTTTTTTATAAAACAAGTGTATTAACTAGGAGGGGGAAGTCATATTTAACTAAATATTGACATGTCATTGACAGGATCACTCAGACACCTTGCTCTGTGATGTCTGACTCTCCTTAGAGGAGTGTAGTCGGCATCACACAGCTGTTGCTCAGGTATAGTCATATTTTGAAAAAAAGAAAAGGGCTGGGCGTGGTGGCTCATGCCTGTAATCCCAGCACTTTAGGAGGCCGAGGCAGGCAGATCACGAGGTCAGGAATTCAAGACCAGCCTGGCCAACATGGTAAAACCCCGTCTCTACTAAAAATACAAATATTAGCCGGGCATCCCAGCTACTCGGGAAGCTGAGGCAGGAGAATTGCTTGAACCCAGGAGGCAGAGGTTGCAGTGAGCCGAGATTGCACCACTGCACTCCATCCTGGGCGACAGAGTGAGACTCCATGTTGGAAAAAAAAAGAAAAGAAAAAAGGGACTGATTTTAGTATTAAGTACCTTGCACTGACTTATTTAATATATTTATAATACTTTTATGAAACCTATTAGAATATTCAGTTATAAGAGGTAAAATATAATTGTGTTTTTAAGTGTCTCTGGGCTGTTACACATATTTTTAGCAGCAAAACAGGCTTTAATCACTATAAAAATTGTGTGACTTTCAAAAGAATTTTGAGAATTCATTATCTAGAAGTCATTTAAATTTTCAAAAGGTCCTGCATATGTCTTTTGTTAGTCCTGAAGATCTCTGTGCTAACAAATCACATAGCTCTGGTGCAAATACAGAGCCCTTTTTATATCTGAAAGCCAACATCAGGAGTAATCACTCCTTCATGAGCACAAGTGCTGATTTCTAAAGCATTCCCTATCCACATTTGCTAAGTGAAATTTGAATGTTATTTTATAACCCAAAATTATCTTAAGCATAGACATTGTATTGTAAGTAAATGGAAAATGGTCCTCCAGTGGCTGGGGCATTTGTTATAGTTAGATTACTTAATCTAATAAGAATGATCTGGATTTTCAGTAAATTCTTTATGTTTTATGGAAATGGAAAGAGTGTAGTAGTATTCCAAGACAATGATCATCTCCCAACATCTTTTTATTTACAGGTATATTTGGGGTGTGTGTGTATGTGTGTATGTAGGTGTATACTACAAACATTTTTGGAATTAACTTGATATAAAATTAAAATGTCAACCTTTCATAAAGTGTTTTAAGAGCAGCTGAAAGCCCTTCAACTTTTCTGTCTCAGAATACTGTAGACACCACTTTGGATTAGCCTTTGTATCCAAACAGTAAATCTGAGAAACATCTTTGGCATAAAAGAACATTTCTAAATTCTCACCTTGACGGAGGGTTGATCTTCAAATCACCTTTTCTCTAGCTACTGCAGGAGCTCTGTTTCATGCTTCCTACAAAGCAAATCGATTTTTAAAGACGAGGTAAAATTCAAATAAAAAAACATGGTACTCTGGCATTTCCAGGCTGGCCACGTGAGGAGCTCTGTAAACCCTCTCTCATACGAAACAGGCATAACTGGTAAAAATTATTATTTTAAAAAACGACTATTGAAAGTCTCTAGAAAATGTCGTAAGGAAATACATCAAATGAAGAAACATTTATCAATCAGTAATAACAGTGAGAGTTTGAGGCATTGAGGCATTTAAGCCAAGCCCCTCTCCCTGCACCTCCCCATCCCTAGCTCAGTGTGACGGAAGCTCCACTCTGTATGGATGTAGCCAAGAAGCCAAAGGTTTCCTCTCTACCCAGGCCCTACTCCAGAGACACTGCACTACCCAAGATCGGGCGCCAGCATTTCTTATCATCCCCAGTTTTGTGGGACAGAAGCTCTGTCCACGCAGAAACAGCTGAGGAGTCTGGGGCTTCCTTCCTAAACCAACTCCTCCTTCCAGGACATACGGTCTTCAGGTGTGGCAGCTGGAAAACACTGTGTCCCAATTGCCCTCACTCCAGCTTGCTTGTAAGGAACTGTTTCTACACCAGGAGAGGCAAGGCAAGAAGTTACCTTTCCCACCCTGCGCCCTACTTGTAAGCAACGGTTTTACTACAAGGGAGCAGGCCACTGTCACTCCCTACAGCTTCAGAGCAGTGAGGCAGATTTAACCAAGAGGTAGAGGGAGGCCATGAAAGTACACAGCTTGGTAGCCCTCCCCAAGTGAACTGATTTCTATTTGGAACAGACCATGGATAAGTTTAAGCATAGTCGTATGAAGATATTGGTAGTAAGCAGTTAAGAGAATGTTGATAACTCGAAGAGAGTAATGAGTTAAACCAGGGAAGTTTAACAGAGAAAAGAAAAAAAGAATCAGCAAACTTGAAGCAAGATCAATAGAGATTATGTATCCTGAAGAATACAGAGAAATAATAATGAAAAAAAACCAGAGCATCATAGAAATATCAGACGTAACTAAGCACACCAACATATACATAATTGAAAATACCAGGAGAGAGACAAAGGAACAGAAAAATTATTTGAAAAATAATGGTTGAAAACATCCCCAAATTAATAAAAATCGTGAATCTAAGATGCAGAAGCTCAGTGAAATACAGATGACACAAAGAAGTTTATATCCAGACACATCTTATTAAAAACTTTGAAAGCCAAAGTCAAGAAGGAAATTTTAAAAGCAGTAGGAGAAAAATCATATATACAAGGAAATGCCAGGATCAACAGCTAACTTCTAATCTGAAAGAATGTAGGCCACAGGACAGTGAGATAACATATTCAAAGAGATGAAACCATTGTCATCAAGAAACTTATACCCAGCAAAACCGTTTTTCATGTTCAGTAGCACAGAATGACTATAGTTAACAATAATATATTGTATATTTCAAAATAACTAGAGGAGTGGAACTGGAATGTTCCTAACAAAAAGAAATAAATGTTTAAGGTGATGGATATCTCAGTTACCCTGATTTGATCATTACACATTGCTTGTATCAAAATATTACCTCTACCCCATAAATACGTACAACTATTAGGTATTCATAAAAACTAAAAATTTAAAAAGATAGTAAAATATATTCCTACTTACAACAAGTAGAGAGTTCACTGCTATCAGCCTGCATTAGAGGAAATAACAAAGAACATTCCTTCAGGCTGAAGGAACCAGACAATAATATGAATCTACACACAAAAAACAAATAGCACTAATAAAGGTAAGTGTACAGGTAATTATAAAATAAAGTATAATGTCATATTTCTTATCATTTTCAGTGCTTAACTTTTAAAAAGCAATGTATAAAACTATAATAGAGAATATACAAATATATAATGTATATATTTTCATTGTCGGGCCTATAGAAATATATTACAAAAAACAGCACAGAGGAGACAGATGGGAGCAAGACTGTACTGAAATAAGGAATGACACCAAATGGTAACATGAGTCAGAGGAACAAAGAAAGAGAACCAGAAATGGTAAATAAGAGCGTTTATAGACAGTCTATAAATACTTACTTGCTCTTTTTTTCTTTTCTCAGATTTTTTAAAAAGAGAATAAATTATGTAAAATAATAATGGGTTTGGTATGCATAAAAATAGTTCCAAAAGAGAATAAATAGAGCTATGTAGAAATAACTTTCTAAATCTCACTTGTATTAAGTTAGTGTAAACCCGAAGCAGATTATTGATAAGATATGTATAATGCAAGCTTAGAGCAATCACTAAAGAAAATAAAACATTGTCGTGAAGTATATTAAAAGGTTTATATACCAAAACCTAGTAGGATTTATCCCACAATTTCAGGAGTGGTTCAACAAATGAAAATCAGTCAATGTATTACACAAGATTAATAGAACGAGGGGAAAAAAAACATGATTATCTTAATTGTTGCTGAAAAAAAATTTAACAAACTCCAGTAACCTTTCATGATTGAAAAAAAAACAATCAATAAACTAGGAATAGAAGGGAACTTTCTCAATATGATAAAGGCCATATATCAAAAACCTACAACTAACATCATACTCAGTGGTGAAAGCTTCGTCCCTAAAATAAGAAACACGACAAGTATGCCCAGTTTTACCACCTCTATTTGTTATAGTACTGGAAGTTTCAGCTAAAGTCATTAAACAAGAAGAAGCAATAAAAGGCATCCAAATTTGAATAGAAGGGCTCGCTCTCTCTCTCTCAGATTACATTATCTTATATGTAGAAAACTCTTCAGAAAATAAAAACTGTTAAGAAAAAATAAATAAATTCAGCAAAGTTGTGGAATACAAAATTAACACCAAAAATTTGGTTGTATTTCTCTACACTAGCAATGAAAAATCTGAAAATGAGATTAAGGAAACAATTCATTTGCAATATCATCAAAAAGAGTAAAAAACTTAGAAATGAACTTAACCAAGAAAGTGAAAGACTTGGACACTGAAAACTGTAAAACGTTGTTGAAAGAGATGAAAGAAAGACATAAATAGATAGAAAGACATTTCATATTCATGAATTGGAAGACTTAATATTATTAAAATGACAATACAACCCAAAGCAATATGCAGATTTA